TTCCGACAAAATTATGTTTATGCCGTTTCCCTCTCTTCGATTCGACCCATGGGGCCCCTCCCAACCAGTCTTTCGGACTGCGTCTGGCCGCAGCGACAGAAAGCCTCCGGAAGCGACCCCAAGCCTTCAGAACAGAGCCGTCGACACCGTCGTGCGACGTCGTCGTGCGATGTCGCAGCCGCCACCCTGCGACGACACCCGCCGTCGGCCCCCCAGCCTCTTGAGAACGCCGTGGCCGTGGCACTGCGCGCCGCGCCACTGCCCGGCGTACCTCGCGCCGGCCTCCACGACGGTCTCGGGGCGCTCCTAGGCCCCACGCAGACGCCGACGCCGACGATGCCGACGACGAAACATGATGGACCCACGAACCCGGAAAGGGATATAGACATGTGGAGCATGGACACGCTTTCACGATACCCAACTGGGCAACACCTCACGAAACATCCCACGAGACACTTCACGAAACATCCCACGAGACACCTCACGAAACATTCCACGAGACACCTCACGAAACATTCCACGAGACACCCCGCGAAACATTCCACGAGACACCCCACGAAACATTCCACGACGACAGGCAACCACTCAACCAAGGCGGTGTGGTCGTGCTGGGGAGTGGTCGTGCTGGGGTGTGGTCGTGCTGGGGGGTGGTCGTGCTGGGGGTGGTCGTGCTGGGGGGGTGGTCGTGCTGGGGGGTGGTTGTGCTGGGGCGTGGTCGTGCTGGGGCGTGGTCGTGCTGGGGCGTGGTCGTGCTGGGGCGTGGTCGTGCTGGGGTGTGGTCGTGCTGTGGTGAGGTCGTCTGGGGTGTGGTCGTGCTGGGTGTGGTCTTGCTGGGGTGGGGTCGTGCTGGGGTGGGGTCGTGCTGGGGTGTGGTCGTGCTGGGGTGTGGTCGTGCTGGGGTGGGGTCGTGCTGGGGTGGGGTCGTGCTGGGGTGTGGTCGTGCTGGGGTGTGGTCGTGCTGGGGTGTGGTCGTGCTAGGGTGGGGTCGTGCTGGGGTGGGGTCGTGCTGGGGTGTGGTCGTGCTGGGGTGTGGTCGTGCTGGGGTGTGGTCGTGCTGGGGCGTGGTCGTGCTGGGGTGGGGTCGTGCTGGGGTGGGGTCGTGCTGGGGTGTGGTCGTGCTGGGGTGGTCCGCACCCTGTGATTTATCGATCGGGTCGTGCTGGGGTGTGGTCGTGCTGGTGCTGGGGTGTGGTCGTGCTGGGGTGTGGTCGTGCTGGGGTGTGGTCGTGCTGGGGTGTGGTCGTGCTGGGGTGTGGTCGTGCTGGGGCGTGGTCGTGCTGGGCGTGGTCGTGCTGGGGTGTGGTCATGCTGGGGGTGTGGTCGTGCTGAGGTGTCCCGCACCCTGTGATTTATCGATCGGGATTTCAAAAACAAGCGTTTCGCCTGAGACATCCTCAAATTTTAATCCGCCGGCCTCCTTCGACATCGATATTTATCAGGGAAAGAATCCGCCGGCCTCCTTCAAGTTGGGCACCGGGGACATGTTTACATAGGAAAAGAGAACCCTGGGCCCACGCCCTTTCCGGGAAAAGACGACGACGACGACGACGACGACGACGACGACGACGACGACGACGACGACGACGACGACGGACGACAGCCGACGGACGACGACGACGATGACGACGACGCGGGCGACGACGACGACGACGCGGACGACGACGACGACCACGACCACAACGGCATCGAAGTCGTCGCCTGGCGGTCCGTCAGTCCGTCGCCCGTCGTCCGTCGTCGTCGTCGTCATTGGTCGTCCTGGTCGTCATCGAAGTCGTCGTCGTCGTCGCGGTCGTCGTCGTCGTCGTCGTCGTCGTCGGCGTCGTCGTCGTCGTCGTGCCTCTCCGTCGTTGGACGTCCGTCGTCGGACATCCATCGCCCGTCCTCGTCCGACGTCGTCGCGATTGTCCACGCCCTCGGCGGAGGTCCATGCAGGAGGGGGACGAGGAGGAGGAGGAGGAGGAGGACTGGGATGATGATGGTGATGATGATGATGATGATGAGGAGGAGGAGGAGGAGGAGGAGGGGGAGGAGGAGGAAGAGGACGAGGAGGAGGAAAAGGAGCAGGATGAGGAGGAGGAGGAGGAGGAGGAACAGGAGGAACAGGAGGAGGAGGGGCAGCAGGAGGAGGAGGATTCGTTCTAACATCAACCTGCCAAGACGCATACCTGGGAGACCAGCGCCACCACCCAGGCTCGCTGCATCACAAGCGTCAGCGGGGGGCCAGCGCTGGACCTAACCAGAACTGGACCCCCCCGACCGTGCAGTGCACCCCGTGGATCGTGAAGGACAACCCCGAAGAGGGTACCTCCGCCAGGAAGGAGAACGGGCCTACCCAGCCAAGGACGTCGGAGGACCACTCGACGCCGCCTGCCGCCGCCGACAGCTCTCAATGAGGTCGTCCGTCGCCGCTGAGCTTGCCTCCCCCCCTTCGAGCAAGCGCCGTGCTCGCTCGCGCACGTCGAGCTCCCAGAGGTCGCCGTGCGGCCCGATCTTGACCGCCGAGGCCGCGATCACCCCGCCCACCGACGCCACCACGCCCGCGGCAGCAACAGCAGCAGGCCCCGAGGGGGCCTTGACGCGGAGCTCGTCAGCGAACGTCGAGATCGGAGGCAGACGAAGGTATGGCGGCGACAGCTCCGCAAGCTGGCTCCGCAGACACCGCCCGCTGCCGCACCGGAGGAGCGTCGGCCGACGCGCGCACAGGCGCCGCGGGCGCCGAGTCGCGCAGGGGGAGGCCGCCAGCCAGCAGGTCCACGTCAATGCCGGAGCCCGCGCCTCCTGCGCCGTCGCCGCCAACCGCCGCACCCCGCAGGGGCCCGCCCTGCGGCGTGCGGGTAGCCGCGCCTGGGGCCCGCCCCTCGCAGCGTGCGGGTAGCCGCGTCGCCGCCGTCGCCGCCGTTGGCGTCGCCCGCATCAGCGCTAAGCCGTCCACTGCGGCCGCGAGGCCTGCGCCGCCTCCGAGGAGGCGCGGCAGGCGCCTCAGCGCCAGCGGGGGGAGGGTGTGCTTGCGAGGCCGCCAGCTCGGCGACCGTGGCGCGCAGCAGGCCCTGGGCCGCGCGTAGCAGCCGCGCGCCCGAGCGGGACGCGCATGCCGCGAGGCCGCTGGCGGCATGGGCCGCCAGGAGAGCGCCGCGCGCCGCCTCCAGGGCGCCGCGGCGGTCGTCCGCCGTCGGAGGCATCAGCGGCGCCGCGGGCGGGCCCAGCGAGGCGCGGCGTGAGCCAAAATGCCGACTGAGGAGGAGGAGGAGGAGGAGGAGGAGGAGGAGGAGGAGGAGGTGGAGGAGGAGGAAGGAGGAGGATGAAAAGAAGAAGGAGAAGGAGCAGGAGGAGGAGGAGGATTTGATCCAGGCGCGGCTGAAAGCGTGCGAGCGGGGCTGGCGACGAGGCGAGAGCCTGACAGGTAAAGCCTCGGGCACATCCCACACGGGAGTGCCGAGGAGGAGGAGGAGGGGGAGGAGGACGAGGAGGAGGAGGAGGAGGAGGAGCAGGAGGAGGAGGATGAGGAGGAAGGAGAAACAGAGGAGAAGGACGACGAGGAGGAGGGAGGGAGGAGGAGGAGGGAGGAGAGGGAGGCGTCGTTTGTCGGCGTCGCCTGTCGCCATCGCCGAGCGCGCTCCTCGAGCTGACCCTTGCTGGCCCAGCTGGGCTGGCCCTCGTCGAGAAGGGCGACGGCGCCCGCGCTGTCCAGCGCCTGGGAGAGGAGGAGAAGGATGAAGAAGAAGCAGAAGAAGAAGAAGAACAAGAAGAATAAGAACAAGAAGAAGAAGAAGAGGGAGAGGAGGAGGAGGAGGAGGAGGAGGAGGAGGAAGAGGAGGAGAAGGATGACGAGGGCGGCGGGTGCTCCTCGAGCATCCGGGGGCCCCAGACCTCCGCCGCCGCCTCGACAGGAATTCAGGGCGGGAAGTGCTCTGTGAGGCTCTCCGTCATTCTCGGCGCTCGGGGGCCACGTTCTCGTGCGACGGGATCTGCACATGCCCGCTGCCCCTGGTAAGGCGCATCCTTAGCCCAGGAGCGGGGTATACAGCGGAGGCCAGTCCACAAGAGGCCTTCCAACCCTGAGACCCCAGGGCGTCCAGTCATGCCTGGTGTGGGAACGTCGCGCCTTCCACAGCAAAAGCATCGAAACCCCAGAAGCCCAGGGCACCCTGAAGGCAAACAGGGTGCTTCTTGGCATGGGCCTTCACTGTGCGCCCTCCTAGCTCGGCCACGGTGACATGTACACCCCTCCTGGGCGCAGCACAGGTCTGGCCAGGGCAATGGATGTGTACTGATTTCGTCGCCCGCTGCTCGGGCCCCCCGGAACCGTTCCAAAATCGGAGACTAACGCGGTCCTGGCGTTCTCCTTCCTGGGCCACGGACTCTCGCGCCGCATGCCGCTGGCGCTACCGCGCGTGGGCAGACCTCAACAGCACCGATGCCGCTGCTCCCCGGGCCTCTCTCCCGGGGCCCGCTCCGACCAGAACACCTCGAGGCGCATCCGGCCGTGGCGACGGGGGGGCTCCCGGGAGGCCAAACGGTGCGACAGCGAGGCAAGCGACCCCGGTCCCTGTCCCTCCTCCGAGTCCCAAAGTGCACGGCGGCGCCTCGGCCTCGGAGCGGCCAGCCCCCCACGACTCGGAGGAAGGGAGGGGGACGAGAGGAGGGCGAGGGAGGAGGACGGAGAAGGGAGGGGACGGAAGGAGGGAGAGGAGGGAGGACGAAGGAGGGGATTTTTCGATTGCTCGAGGGATGAACCAGGCTGGCTGCCACGAAGCGTCAGAGGGGGAGGAGGGGGAGGAGAGGGGGGAAGGACGAAGGAGGGGGAGGCGTGGGGAGGGAGGACGAAGGAGGGGGGGGAAGGAGGACGAAGGAGGAGGGCGAGGAATGGGGCAGGAGCGAGGGCCCCGCGCCCGCTGGCCCCTGGCAGGGGCCGAGGGGCCCCTGCGCTGGTCCTGGCTGGGCCACTCGCGGGCGGAGCGAGAGCTCATGAGCCGGTCTCGGAGCGCTCTCGTCCAAGCACACCAGCGGTGGATCGCACACACTGCGCACCGGCTCTGCGGCCGCCGGTGAGCGGCGGTCCTGGCCAGACCGCGGGGCCCAGGGGCCGGTAGCGACTGTGCCGCCCAGGTGGGGCCAGATTGCGCCTCGTCGCCGAGACTTGAGCAGGGACCGACCGTGCAAGCATTCCCATAGGCATACCACGAAACGCTGTTAGGCAGAGTAGTGCTCTGAGAACAATAAGCGGCGCGCCCAGGGGGGAAGTGAGAAGGAGAAGGCCTTCTCAGAAGGCTCGAAAGTTCCCGGGACTTCTGAGAAGTTTTCCAAGCCTTCCCCGAGAACAGAACATGATGGACCCACGAACCCGGAAAGGGATATAGACATGTGGAGCATGGACACGTTTTCATGATACCCAACTGGGCAACACCTCACGAAACATCCCACGAGACACCTCACGAAACAGCCCACGAGACACCTCACGAAACATTCCACGAGACACCTCACGAAACATTTCACGAGACACCCCGCGAAACATTCCACGAGAACCCCACGAAACATTCCACTACGACAGGCAACCACTCAACCAAGGCGGCCGTGCGAAACATTCCCGGACCCCCACTAAACTTCCCACGACGACAGGCGACCACTCAACCACGGCGGTGTGGTCGTGCTGGGGAGTGGTCGTGCTGGGATGTTGTCGTGCTGGGGGGTGGTCGTGCTGGGGGGTGGTCGTGCTGGGGGGGTGGTCGTGCTGGGGGGTGGTCGTGCTGGGGCGTGATCGTGCTGGGGCTTGGTCGTGCTGGGGCGTGGTCGTGCTGGGGTGTGGTCGTGCTGTGGTGAGGTCGTGCTGGGGTGTGGTCGTGCTGGGGGGTGGTCGTGCTGTGGTGGGGTCGTGCTGGGGTGGGGTCGTGCTGGGGTGTGGTCGTGCTGGGGTGTGGTCGTGCTGGGGTGTGGTCGTGCTAGGGTGGGGTCGTGCTGGGGTGGGGTCGTGCTGGGGAGTGGTCGTGCTGGGGGGTGGTCGTGCTGGGGTGTGGTCATGCTGGGGCGTGGTCGTGCTGGGGTGGGGTCGTGCTGGGGTGGGGTCGTGCTGGGGTGGGTTCGTGCTGGGGTGCTCCGCACCCTGTGATTTATCGATCGGGTCGTGCTGGGGTGTGGTCGTGCTGGGATGTGGTCGTGCTGGGGTGTGGTCGTGCTGGGGTGTGGTCGTGCTGGGGTGTGGTCGTGCTAGGGAGTGGTCGTGCTGGGGTGTGGTCGTGCTGGGGGGTGGTCGTGCTGGGGGGTGGTCGTGGTGGGGGGGTGGTCGTGCTGGGGGGTGGTCGTGCTGGGGCGTGGTCGTGCTGGGGCGTGGTCGTGCTGGGGCGTGGTCGTGCTGGGGCGTGGTCGTGCTGTGGTGAGGTCGTGCTGGGGTGTGGTCGTGCTGGGGTGTGTCTTGCTGGGGTAGGGTCGTGCTGGGGTCGGGTCGTGCTGGGGTGTGGTCGTGCTGGGGTATGGTCGTGCTGGGGTGGGGTCGTGCTGGGGTGGGGTCGTGCGGGGGTCTGGTCGTGCTGGGGTGTGGTCGTGCTGGGGTATGGTCGTGCTAGGGTGGGGTCGTGCATTTCGCTCGAGACATCCTGCCAAAATTCCAGGAAATCGCACAAAAACAAACGAATTAGTCGAGACATCCTCGGAATTCCTGCGCGAGGAGCGCTTTTCCGCGTCGCGGTCGGCTCTGCAAAACAAGCGTTTCGCTCGAGACATCCTCGGCAAACTCTGCGGAGCAAGCGTTTCGCTCGAGACATCCTCAACACACGAAAAAGTGGCCCGCACCCTGTGATTTATCGATCGGGATTTCAAAAACAAGCGTTTCGCTCGAGACATCCTCAAATTAATTCGCCGGCCTCCTTCGACCTCGTTATTTATCAGGGAAAAAATTCGCCGGCCTCCCTCAAGTTGGCACCGGGGGACAGGTTTACCTACTAAAAGAGAACCCTGGGCCAAAGCCCTTTCCGGGAAAAACAATCTCAGAAGGCTGGAGGCCTTCTGAGACGTCTCGCCGCATTCTGAGAAGGCCTTCTCCTTCTCGTTTCCCCCCCTCGCTCGCCTCCGAAACAAGACAATATTATTAGAAGATGACACCGATGTGTCAAAACAAGACGGTCTCGGCCAGAACTGCTCTGAGAACATGTCTTGAAACATTGCTTGGCGGGTCAACAGACAAGCCAGGGCTCATCGCCGATGCATCCGCGATTCGATACGGTCCTCCGATTCCCACCTGGTAATAGGACGAGAAAAAAACGCCATAAACATAAACTTTTGGCGCTCCGGGCGGATCTCTTGGATCTGAGCCGGACGCCCCTCCCTGGCGCGCGGAGCGCGCCAGGGGCGGCGCCGGAGGCGCCGCCAGGGGGACGCCAGCGCGGATCCAAGAAGTCCGAGCGGAGCGCCAAAAGATAATGTTTCTGGCAGTTTTCCTTCTGTGAACGCATGAAAACCGACCCCCTACCCCCACATGAGGAACTTTAGACCACCTAGACCACGCTAATTAGCGGGGCCCCCTGCGGCAGCTAACAATGGCCTCGCTGTCAGGGCGCCTAGAGCTACGCACATTCGCCAGACTTGCAAAACGCTGACATCCGAAATCTGTGTTGTGGGAGCTGAGGTCGGCTTCCCACGGTGCATTCTTCGGGGCATGGCCCCACTCGGACTCGGCTACACGTAGGAGTGACCCTGGGTAAGAGTGACCTTTGGTGCGCGATTTTTGGGGGGCCGCGGGTGGACCAGACCTGGGCGCGCAAGCAACTGCTACTGCCTCGTTTTTAGCCATCTGGGGACCCATCTTTTTTCTTTTTTTTCCACCCTCGGAGCCTCTAGGGTTCTCTTTCCTCGAATGGCAGCGCGTGTGAACGGAACTGCGCAGGAGAGGTTTCGTGACAATTTCGTGCCGGCGGAGGCGTCGCAGGCGATGTTCCGCCACTGCTTAGGAGAACGCACTCCCAAGAAAACGTGGCTCGAAATCCGCCGCCAGGGGCGCAGAGTGAAAGACGATATACAAGGTCCAAAAGTCACTCCGGCGAAAGGTCACTCTTACGTCTCGTCGATCGGACGGCCCGGGGACTGCCGGGAGCCCGGGCCCCCGTGCGGGGGCGGGCGGGACGGGCCGGACCGGGCTGGGCCTGCGACGCAGACGCGGGGCGCTCGACAGGGCGCCTGTCTTGCCGCGAGCAGAGGAGGAGGAGGAGGAGGAGGAGGAGGAGGAGGAGGAGGAGGAGGAGGAGGAGAGCGAGGAGGAGCGAGGAGGAGCGAGGAGGAGCGAGGGGATTGAGGAGGAGGAGGAGGAGGGGGAGGAGGAGGAGGAGGAATTGAAGTGACCCATGCCGCGGGCCTTCCCTCGCCCTCGCTTCTTTGGGCCTCCTGTCAGGGCTGGAGCTAAACAGTGCTTGTGTGTTCGTTTTTTGTTCGTGTTCCTCCGCTCTGCCTTCGTCCTGCCTCTGCCGCGAAACGAGAACGAAACGAAAACGGCCCGCGAGATCGCAAGAGAAGGCACCCGTCCAGCTCGAGCCCTGGCCTTCGCCCCAGCTCGAGGAGGCCCTCGCCCCCACCACTGGCCTTCGCCCCTGGCCTCCTCAGCGCAGAGGCGCACGCAGACCCATCGAGTGCCTGGGCGGAACCGGCGCACGCGGACGGTCCCCGGGATCCGGCCTCGTTTCGAGATCGGGACGTCGTGCATTGAGTCGGGCGTGTCCCCCTACAGGGGGATTGTCGACGAAAAACAACAAATACCCCAAAAAAATCAAAAAATAGTCCAAAACAAGTCTGGGGACCATCTTTTTAGTACTTTTTTCCCATTTGGGGGTATTGTTGGGGTATTTTTATGTTTCGTCGAAAATCCCCCTGTAGGGGGACAGGCCCGACCTAAGTCGTGCAACATCGGGACCAGCACCCTCTGCACCACCCCAGCTGCCCCGCGACATCGCGGCCAGGACCCTGGGCGCCACGTCCTGGCCGGGCCCAGCCTGAGCCCGAGATGGGTGCGCACGCCCCCCCGGGTTGGCCTGGAAGGCACATGCACCGATCATGGGCCCAGGAGGAGCCTGGCCCAAAGCAGTGCATGCTCATCGGCCTCTCCTTTTGCGGGGGCGTCCAAAAGAGGGGGGCGTCCAAGAGGGGGGGGCGCAAATCATGGCCCGCGGCACGTGCGCGGCCCATTGGGGGGGAGCAGGGACGCAAGGGAATAAGAAGAGGCGCCATGAAATCTGAGGAAATATCATGGCCCCCGCCATGGTATCCCCCCCCCCCTGGTCATCACCCCCCTCTTGGCCGCCCCCGATCTCCCCTGGACGCCCAAAGTGGGCTAGGATGCCCTACAACACGTGCTGTCCACAACCGACCGCGGCCGCTGTGGCGCAGCCAGCCCTCTGCCCCACCACGGACGAGAGATCCCCAGCGACACCGACAGCGAGCCCCCGTTCAAACCAGAACTGCTATCAGTCTTCGCGACCATTCTTTCCGTATCCATCTCGATCGTATAGAAGAAGAAGAAGAAGAAAACAAAAAAAAGGAGGAGGAATAAGAAGAAGAAGAAGCGCCCGAAGGACATGAGAAGGAAGTCGTCAGGAATTGGATTTGAGGCCAGAAACACAATCTCTTGGCCCTCCGCGCGGAGTTCTTGGATCTGCGCCGGACCTCCCCCCCTGGCGCGCTGAGCGCGCCAGGGGCGGCGCTGGAGGCGCCGCCAGGGGGGCCCGGCGCGGATCCGAGAAATCCGGCGGCTCTTCTTCGAATGTGTCCCGCATCCGCTTCGACCGCGCCGCTCTTCGCCCCGAAGGCTGGAGAGCAGCCCCGGCGCCTCGTTCGGGTCGCCGTCGTCCCTGCAGCAGTGGCAGCCGGCGAACATCTCGCCGCCCCGCGGCGCGGCGCCGTGCGGGCGGGCCCCCTCCTAGGCGGGCGGCGTCCCGGTCGCGGGGCCGCTGCCGATGCCCATGCCACGGGGTGCCCAGCGTTCCGCCCCGGGTGCCCGCCGCGGCTCCTGAGGGCAAGAGCGGCTGCGGAGGCAGCTGCCGCGCGGGGCGCCCGGCCGAGCCGCGAAGAAGAAGGAGAAGAAGAAGAAGAAGGAGAAGCGCCCGAAGGATATGGACTGGAAGTCATCAGGACTCGAATTTCTGAGGTAGACAAAGCGCCAGAAACACAGACTTTTGGCGCTCCGCGCGGAGTTCCTGGATCTGCTCTGGACCACCCTCCCCTACGCGCAGAGCGCGCCAGGGGCGGCGCTGGAGGCGCTCCCGGGGAGGTCCAGCGCGGATCCGAGAAACACGTTCGGAGCGCCAAAAGTTTTCGTTCATGGCGTTTTTGCTGCTTCGATGGATGGAGCATAAAGATGCAAACTAGAAGCAGCAATCAACGGCTTGCCGAGCGGCAAAGCCGGCGTCTTGATGTCACTGAGGTCGGGCGCCCAAATTAAATTTCTGAACCTCATCACCCGACCGTCGGAACCGAAGAGCGGGCTAGACCGACTATGCCGAGCAGCAGGAGTCCTCCCGCAAGATAGGTCTACGCTGTCCCTCGCAATGCCGGTGGTGACGACGAGCAACACTGACGGGCACAGGCTCCAGGCGCTCGACTGGGTCGGGCGACGAGATCCGAGACCGCGCGGCCTTTGTTGCGGAGCATGGTCGCAAAGCGCTGGGCACATCTTGCCAGCTGAGAGGTCTCGAACCTGCGGGCAGGGAGCTCGAAAAAGAGGTGATGCTGCTGGGAAACATCAGGACGCCGAAGCACGGCCCAGCCACCGTGGATAGCTGCGCGACTCACGAGAAGCTGGAACTTTGCTTCACGGGAACAGTTCTGAAGAAAAGATACGATGTAGATGAAAGAGCACAGCGGTTTCTAAAAGCCTCCCTCGCGAGAACTAGCACCCTTGGCAAGTTAGCTACAGTGGAGCTGACGCCGGCTGCGACTCCCTCTCTCTCTCTCCCTCCCTGCCTCCCTGCCGCCCTCCTCCCCTACTCCCTCCTCCTCCTCCCTCATCCTCCTCCCTCCTCCCTCCTCCCTCCTCCCTCCTCCCTCCTCCCTCCTGCCTCCTGCTCCTCCCTCCTTCCCGCCTCCCCTCCTACCCTCTCTACCCTCCTCCCTCTCACCTCCGCCTACTCCCGCCTCCTCCTCCCTCCTCCTCCTCCCCTCCTCCTCCTCCTCCTTCCTCCTCCTCCTCTCCCCTCCTCTCCTCCTCCTACTCCTCACCTCCTCCTCATCCTCCTGTCCCTCCTCCTCCTCATCCACCCTCCTCCTCCTCCTCCCCCTCCCCCCCTCCCCCTCTTCCCCACACTTCTCCTCCTCCTCCTCCTCCTCCTCCTCCTCCTCCTCCTCCTCCCCTCCGAACGACCATGCGAGGACGCAGCGGAAATTATCCGGGAGCTTGGCATGGGGAATCGGAACCCAATGGATACGGAGCATCGAACGAAGACGGCCGGCTCCGCGTCTGACCGAATGCGGGTTATCCTTCATCGGAGGTGTATGCAGAAACGGGAAAGAAATGGGACACCGTCAAGAGAGGGGCTGCCCATGCGAAGGTGTTCTTCGCCCCTCCCTACCTGGTGGTCGGCTCGGCGAACTGGACGGTCGCGAGTCGTGGAAACCAAGACCTTCCTGCCTGATCCACTTGTGTCCGAGGAGTGTGAAGGTCACGGGCAAGGCGCTCCGCGCGATATTGGCGGCGGGGGGCGTCGTAACCCTCCCCGACATTGGGAAGATGACCTGAAGGGAGAGAGCCAGTTGAGAGGTCATGATGATGATGATAAGCGGGCAAGAACGTGAGCTGAGGTTGGGAAAGACAGCAAGCCGTTTGCGTTGCGTGTCAGGCTTTCCCCTTGGAAGGCCAGAGCTGACGCGGCATACTATCTGAGCGTGGCGTGCGTCCTGGGGTGGCGTATAGGGCCCGTTTGGCTCTGCTGCCCGCCGTGAGGATCTGCCCTAGCAGCACTGGCGGCCAGCCCTGATGGCCCGCCCGCATGGAGCAGTCGTGGCCTTGACGCTGGCGCGGTGCTGTTACTCTCTTCTTTCTCGTGGAGCGGTGGGGTGGGGCGGTGGGAGCGGTGTGGGCGGCTGAAGCTGCTGACAGGAGCATACTTTACGGCCTCTTCCCCAGCTTACTGAGCAATGAGTTATGAGGTCGTCACCGTATGACGACGGCAGCTGGCTTTTTGGCCCAACGTCGTCAAGCGTCCGAGAGCGGGCACTGAGCTGTTGATTTGATTACGGCGAGCGCCCGCTCGCCAGAGGAGACCACTCATTACATCTTATGACCACTGAACTTATTGTCGTTGATCTTGTTGGCGTTGAGGCACACTGCGATACAACCTGGGTAATTCCACCAGCCTTTTGGGCGTGAGTGGTTTAGCGAGCTCTCTCTGTTCTCAACCCCCCTTCTTCCCCTTCGGGGAGGGGTTTACCCCTCCCCCTGCCCCCTCCCCCTGGACCTGGAGAGGTCCTTTCGCGGGTGGTGAGAGGGTCCTTGTTCTATCCCTGGGAGGGCTAAAAAAACGACACCCCTCACGAGGATTCTGGCCCCGACGGGGGGAGGGAGAAAAGTGCTCCCCTCTTCTTTGAAGCCAAAATCATTGATTTTACTACGGTTTTGGCCCCATTTTGGCCTTCTGAGGGGGCAGCGCTAATTAAAGCTCCCCTCTTCTAAGCCAAAATCATTGATTTTACTAAGGTTTTGGCCCCATTTTGGCCTTCTGAGGGGGCAGCGCTAATTAAAGCTCCCCTCTTTTTTGATCGATTTCCTCCAAGATGGCCCCAAGAAGCGCCCAAGAGGCACCAAGAGGCCCCAAGATGGCCCCAAGAGGCCCCCAGGAGGCCCCCAAGAGGATCCCAAACGGCCCAAAGAGGCCCCCCCGAGGCACCCAAGACGCAGAAAAGCCTATCAGGACGACCCTCTACTCGCCTGGGCGTCGTTTCTGGACGGGCAGTAGGAGGGGCCCGAACGACTCACACCAGGACGAGGGGCCCGAACAACTCACACCACGAGAAGCCCGAACGACTCACACCAGGACGAAGAGCCCGAACGACTCACACCACGAAGAGCCCGAACGACTCACACCAGGAAGAAGGGCCCGAACGACTCACACCAGGACGAGAAGCCCGAACGACTCAAACCACGAGGAGCGCTTTCTCTCCCTCCTCCTCCGCCTCGTCTTTCTCCCGCTCCCACCACAAGGAGGATGTACAAGGAGGCGGGAGGAAGGAGGAACAGGGGAGATATGCGGGGGCAGGCGGAAACACGCCTGAAAAACACGACTGTCGGCATGCTTCGCTAGAGTTGCTGTTTTGAGATGGGCTGGTGGGGATACGCGAAGCGTGAAGAATATACCCCTTACCTGGCCAAAGACGCCAAGGCTCGCCCTAAAAGGGAGGTTTTCGAACTCAGAGACTGGATTCAAGAAATGGATTCAGACGACCACTTAGTCTGATCCAGTGGGGCCTCCTGGGGGCCCCTTGGGGGGGAAGGCTCGGAGTTTCGGTGCATGTTCCCCTTTCGTGGGCCCCTTTGCGATGGGCAGAAAATCCACCCCCATAATCATCGCCCCGACGCGCGAAGCCGCTTCGCAAACGCACCCGCAGAGAGGATCGAGCAGGGCAGGGCTCCTTCGAAAACGCCGAGGGCCGTTCACAAAAATACGGCACTTCTCGGGTCCGGGTGGCGTTTTCCCCCTTGATAAAGTCGGGCCTGTCCCCCCATACCCCTACAGGGGGATTTTGCGCAAAAAGAGCGCGATGCCGAGTATGCGAGACAGGGTGAGTTGATAGCTCGGGCCATCGGCCCCCAGATCAGTGAAGCAGTGCAGGCCGCAGCGATCCAGATCACGCCGACGGCTCCCCCCGGCCCCTCTGGAGCAGCGGCCGCCGGCCCTACCGCGGTTCCGGGCGCCCTTCCACTGGCTTCGACACCACCGGAGGTTCCTCAGCAGTTGACCCCCACGCACCAGGCCTTGCTTGAGGCGGTCCTTGGCGGAAGTATCGAGATCAAGGATGGCTCGATCTAGGGCGTCACCAAGGCAATCTCCGAAGGTTGGGCGTCGAATCCGAAGGTTACCAAGTCGGTCGAGGCAGCCATTAAGAAGTTTGCGGGGAAAGACGTGGCGGTCCCGAGGCCTAAAACCGAGAGGATCCAGTTGCTGTTCGACGCGATCCGCAAGCTGCCCTGAGCTACCCGTAGCATCTTCCTGAAAATCTTCTGGCCTCTTCAAGTTCCGCTGCTCGTGCTCCTAATGTGTCTGTGCATCTCGTTCTATTCAGGATTCGCTCTGGCATGGTACCAGAACGAGGCGTTCAAATACCAGAGCGAACCGCTCAATTTGCAGGTAGGCGGACAGGTCTTCACCAGCGTTGTAGATCTTGCCCGTGCTTACTTCTTCCCCTTCTCTTTCGCCTCCCAGCTCCCTTCTCCCCAGCTCGCATCTCCGCCGCAGCAGCTGCCAGCCATAACCGGTCTTGGCCGAAATATTCCAAGCCTCGGGGTCGGTCCTCTTGCCGATGGGATTGCTCGAGCACTCGGGCACTAGAGGTACAAGAGATGGGGGGGGGAAATTCGTTACGTCAGACAAATATGTTAGCGCCCTCTGCTTACGATACATATCTCTTGTACCTCGCCCCCCTTGTTTCGTGCGAGATGGGCGCCAGCAGCGTATGAAGCCAGATATCTTGAGATGTGTCTGGCGGAGTCTGGTAAACTCAAGACGACAGCGACGAAGGAGCCAACGACGATGACGATAACGATCGTGCGTGCTGGCGCGGAGCCGGGGTGTGCCAGGAGGGGAGACTCACGGAGTCCCGGCACGTGTCTCCTCGTCAGTGCGCGCGCGGGGGTTTGCCCTCTCTCAGGGGCGAATCCCAGGAGGGTTCATCATATTCCGTGCAGCGAGCTGGCTCGGACTGGTGTGAGTGCACAGAGCGCTCAAGCTCGCTCCAGTGGCCCTCTTGCGAGCCAGCAGAGCCTCATTCCGATGGCGCTCTGAAAGAACATCGCAACCAGTGATCATCATCATCATC